TAAATAGACCACTTTCATTCTTTGAAGTTCTCACATTGCACACTCCTAAATCTCTGAAGCTCTTTGCATTCTTTCTTCTTCTTACCTTTAGTCTTATTTTTGTTCCACACTCCTAAAATGGGTGTAGTGTCTACTATTGTTCACTATGATGGTTCCATGAACCCATGTCCCATGGAGGGAGTTACCTTCAATATTGGGGCTGCAAAACTTGTTCCTTTAAAGAGAGGAATTTCTCTATAAAGGTTGAAGAAGTTGATCCATATGAAATTGGAGAAAGAACCCCACGAAAATGTAGCAACCATCCATTTTCACTGTCCAACTAGACTTGAAGTTGGGATGAACAACTTCATTATTGTTGAGTTGAAAGATGATGACGACGTGGAAGTCATGTTCGATGTTCATGATTCAAACTCAAGTCTATGTGGTATTAAAATTTTTGTTACATTTAAAACTTCTTCTTCTTTATACCCCATCACACACTCACTTGAAATCTCACCCTCACCCTACCAAGCTTTCCCAAATACTGACCCAAAAATACCCACACATAATGACTACATCCCTTTAACCCAACTTCTAAATGGGCCTTCCACCAACATCAACGAAGAACTACCCACACAAGAGAACGAAATTGTTGTCCTCCCAATTGAAGTCGTTGATCCTTTTAGTGAGGACGAAGACGAAGATAAAATTCTCAGCCAACAACAAGATGATTTAGAGAACGAACAACCCCATATCCCTACACATGCATCAAACTTCATGGAACCATACAACCCACCACAACATTTTCTTAACTTTGAAAGTCACATTCAACAACAAGACCCAGAGTATGGTCATGCGTTGGACAGAGAGTATTTTGTTTCTCCAACATGAACTCTATTTCTTGGACAACATTTCATAACAAAAGAACAAGTTCAAGATGTCATCAACCGCTTTCACATTGTCAATGACTGCACATAAAAGGTGAAAAATTCAAACCAAAGTAGATATGTTGAATGTGTTGATAACCAATGCAATTAGAGATATCGAGCAATATTGCGCACAAGAGAGCAATATTGGGAGATTATGAAGCTCCAAGGGCACCATACATGTGTTTCGCCATTAATCAGCCAAGACCACAACAAGTTGGGATATAAAATGATTCCCAAACAATTGGTCAAATAGTTGATGTTGATTCGTCAACACCAATCTCCACAATCATAGCCCACATCCAATTAACAACGGGTTACACTATAACGTACAGGAAGGTCTGGCTGGCCAAACAAAAGGCAGTGGAGACCATCTACTGCAATTGGGAGGATTCGTATAAGAACTTACCTTGTTTGTTACAAGCCATGCAACAATTTGTTCTCGAATTCATCTACAAACTGCAGTCACAACCAGCTTACCAAGGTGAGGTCCTTCAACAAAATTCAAATATTTTTAAGCGTGTGTTTTGGACATTTAGGTCATGCATAGATGGATTTGTTCCCTGCAAGCCCATTGTTAAAGTGGACGGAATTTTTCTGGTGATTGCGTTTGCAGTTATTGAAGGTGAAACAAGTGATGCCTGGTTTTTTTTCTTAAAAAACCTCCAAAGATATGTCACACCCCAGCAAGGATTATGCCTCATATCAGACCGACATGAATCCATTAGAAGTGCATACATGAGAAATGGAAACGGATGGACAGAAAATAATTCAGTGCATATCTACTACATTTGACACATTGCACATAATTTTGATGAGACGTTTCAAAAATACCGCACTAAGGAAAGATATTGTAAATACAGGTAATTCATTTGCTTCAAATTTGTTACAATTTATTCATTATTTAACTGTTGCTAATAAATATTTATATTAACTATGTTTTTTTAATATTGTTATAGCATATGGAATGACTGAACCACGATTCTACTATTATTACAACATCTTGAGACAATGTGACATAAAAGCGAGCTAATTGGTTGGATGAGATACATAGAGAAAAATGGGCACTTGCATGGGACAATGGACGGTGTTGGGACCACATGATGACCAACATAGCAGAGTCTATCAACTCTGTTTTGAAAAACACAAGAAATCTACCTATTTGCTCCATGGTCAACGCAACGTACACACGCTGCAACAAATTTTTCATTGAAAGAGGGAGGCAGATAGATGTCATGATCAATGCTGGTCATGTATACTCTGAAATTTTGATCACAAATTTAGAGGAAGCACAAACACAGGCAAACACGCATAGGGTCATAACTTTTGACAGATCTACCATAAAATTTGTAGTAGAAGAAACACAAAACCCACGTGAAGTTCGACCAGCAGGGACATTTGTAGTTCGCCTTGATGAGTTGTGGTGTGACTGTGGGAAATTCCAGAAATTTCACATGTCTTATTCACATGTTCTTGGTGCATGCAAACATGCACACCATGACTTCAACAACTACATTCATTCAGTGTATACCTTACAACAAGTTTCAAAGGTATACGAAACACAATTTGGGTTGTTGCAAAATGAAGAATATTGGCCAACATATACAGGACCTACTTTTTGTGCAAATCCAGAAATGAAAAGAACTTCAAAGGGCCGACCAAAATCAAGTCGTATAAGAACTGAGATAGATATTACAGAAAATCAAAGTAGGATTAAAAAATGTTCATATTGTCATACCCCTGGTCATAGCAGAAGAACATGCTCCAATGTTGCATGTGCATCTACTTCGCATCATTAGATTGTGTTAGTTAAGAAATGCCCCACTGTATGAAACTTAGGAATTTTTCAATTAATAAAATTTCTTCTTTACTTGATTAATTTAGAGTAATTATTTTTTATTTATAGAAACAAAATTATAAAGTATTATATATAAACATATAATAGTTGTGACCCCAAAAATTAGTAATATACCAAAACTTATATCTTATAATAGGACAACAAATATTTGAATTGAACTTGAGCATATTATAATGATCCCAACCTAAATACAATTACTCGCTCAAACAATGGATTTCTCGTTTGAACAAGAGTTGACCACAGGCTAAAGGTCCAACGCAGTTAGCCACATAATGTAACTTGGGTCACCACATATTTCAATCACTTCTCGCTTAAGCGAGAGTTGACCACAGACTAAAGGTCCAACGCAGTTAGCCACATAATATAACTTAGGTCATCACATATTTCAATCCCTCTCGCTCGAGCGAGAATTCCGTCACTTGAGCGAAATAGAACTCGACAAGACCCATTAGTTACAGGTCTCCTCACTCGAGCGATGGATTTCTCCCTTGAGCGAGAGTTGATCTTGCGTGAAATAATCAATCATAATCTAAAATAATCGATTATTTTAAAACGTGAACAGTAAATAGTGCTAAATGGGTAAATAATATTGCAGAGATGTTATTTTGGGAAATATTTTTTAAAATGATATTATTTATAAAAAAAAGTCCCAATATTCAACATTTTTACCCTAGAAAAAAAATTCAAAAATAAGAGTTTCTTTTAAATAATTTGTGTTCATATATAAATTGTTATATTTTTTAAGTAAAAGAGTTTCTTTTAAAAGAAATGGCAGGAAATTAAGCATTGTAGAATATAAATAAATGTGATAGAATTTCACGAAAAAAAAAGTAAGAAATGACAAAGAAAATGTCATGGAGGGTGTTTAAAAAAAAACAAAGAAAAAAATACCAAACTTTTATTATTTTTATTTATTAATTTTATGTGAGGGAAAAAAAATCCATTTCGTAAATTATAAAATCCTTATCTATATGCTACAAATATTGAACCATATATTTTTAATAATTTATAATATGAAAACTTGCAGGCCAAGTATTGAATTTTCTATCCCTAATTTTAATTGAACGTAACATATTCTGTTTTCAAAAGGAAGACTTTTTCTCACACTTTATTCTACAAACCAATTTTGACCAGTTTATTATTCACAAATAAACTATGTTTAATTAATTTATTTATTTATTTTTTAACTAATTATATAAATATAATTTTATTCCTGCAACGAATGACTACGACAATTCAAATACTGACAAAAAATTAAAAGGTTGAATTAAGCCAACGACACTTTCAAGGGACAAAGCTTTTGCTTTGTTTTAATAATTTATTGGATATTTTTAATCAAATAGATAGATAAGTGTAATTTTCATCTATTTCTACATGTTCTGACGGACTATTTATCAATTATAATTTTTAAAATAATTATTTTTTTTAGAATAATAATTTTTCACATGAAACAATTTCATTAAAATAGAATAAAATCATTATAAATAAAAAAATATTTATATTTTTTTCTTTGTCCAATCTCAACATTATAAATTCAAACACAATATATATGACAAAAATAATTTTTATTTAACAAAAAGTGAAAAATAATTTAAGATACAACGGAAAGAAACGTTTTTTGTTACTTTTGTTAACATAAAAATATTTTTCCTGTGATTTTCCTTTTAAATAAATAATTTAAAAAAAAAAACACTCCCACGATTCCCAACCTCATCCAGTTTCATCAATTCTTCTTCCAACTTTCAATCCTCACCATTCATCACATCTCCTGAACTACCTCACTCACCATCCTCACCCTTGATACCCAAACACAATAAAGAAATAAATAAATAAATAAATAAAAACTTAAATATATTTTCATAGTAGAAATACGCATTACATGAAATAATTACTTAACTTTTCATAATTAAGAAGTGTCATATAATAATAAGGGTAAAAATTAATATTCTTAATTTTATAGAAATTAACTTTTGTCATTTAGGAGAAGTAGATAGTATTTAAATTTTTAATAATAATAAAAAATAAAAAAGATATACCCACTCTTATCGTTGACACAGACTAAAATCAGAAAATCACCCGCATAATCACTTTCTTCTTCCATCTAATTTTTATTTTTTTGTTCAAAAAGTCACACACGACCTCAAAACAAACACAGACATAAAAAGAAAGAGTGGAAGTGGAAGAAGAAGAAGAAGAAGAAAAGAAGGAAGCAAAGTAGTTCCGTTTTCCCTTATGTAATGCATCAAAAGAAATCCGAACTCCAGATCGGAAAAGAAAGCACCGGCGTCTCTTCCGATTTCAACCCACTCCACTACCACTCCAACCACCACCACCAACACCACCACCCTATTCCCAACCTAACTCTTAACACGAACCTCGAAACCCTAACCTCCACCGCCCCCTACAAAAGACCCTCCCTCTCCAAATCCCAAACCATCCACAGATTCCCGAAACCGCGACACGCCACCACTCCCTCCACCACCGCCGCCACCGCAACCGCCACGTGGCTCTCCTCCGTAGTTTCCTTGCGACGTCGCCTCCGCCACCGCCTCCGCCTCTTCCTCTTCCTCTCCCTCCCCTTCTTCTACTTCCTTGTCTCTCACCCTACAAACTCCTTCCTTCTCGATTTCCTCTCCGCGTTCTTCTTCTCCGCCGCGCTTTTCTTCTCGCTCAATCTCGCCCTACCCCGAATTCCCTCCCTCCGTCTCTTTCTCAAGCCTAAGGCCCGGCCTGCGCTCAGGCTCCCCGTGTTCTGGGCCCGCCCCGCCCCGCCCGAGTTTCAATTCTCCGTGGTTGCGTACTCGAACGGCGACGTTTACGAGGGGGAGTTCAGGGGAGGGAAGTGCTGTGGGAGTGGGGTTTACTACTACAACATGAGTGGGAGGTATGAGGGGGATTGGGTGGAGGGGAAGTATGATGGGTTTGGGGTGGAAACGTGGGCGAGAGGGAGTAGGTACCGGGGGCAGTACCGGCAGGGGCTCCGGCACGGGTTCGGGGTGTACCGGTTTTATACCGGTGATGTTTATGCGGGGGAGTGGGCCAGTGGGCAGAGCCATGGTTGTGGGGTGCACACGTGCGAGGATGGAAGCAGGTACGTGGGGGAGTTCAAGTGGGGCGTTAAGCATGGCCTTGGACACTACCATTTTAGGTATGGAAATGCTTTGGTGGTGTGTGTGTGTGTGCGCGCGCGCGCGCCCGCGTGAATGTTTTACTTGAGATCACGTTAGCTGGTGTTTTGACGTGATTGTGGATTGGGTAGTGTGAATTTGGACATGTGTGTGATTTAATGGTTTGTGGGAATTGACAGATGTGTGCTGGCTTGGGCTGATTGGGGTCTGTTTGGTTTTTGGATGTGGATTGGTGTGTTTGATTTGGTTTGTTGCTCGTGTGTGAATGTTTTGTGAGGTTTTTTTCTGAAGGGTGTTCGTGCTTGGTTTGGTTCTGTGCTTTGTCTTCTAGACAATATATTGGTGGTCGTGTGTATGTTTGGGTTTTTCTTTGTTGTTTAGCTGATGGTGTCTAGTATTTTTGACAAAGGGAATGGTTTTATGCTGGATTTTGTTGTATGTAAACTTATTGCATGCTTGTTTGGTTTTGGTTTTATTTGCTGTATGTGTGAGAAAGCTTTTGTGATTTACTTTGACAGGATTTTGGGGCTTGATTTGGTTCTCAGTTTCATAGGTTTCCCCAATTTCTTGGTTCAATAACCTTTTCCTGCTCTTTCTGGTCATGTGGGTTTTGTTAGGTTTACTTTATGGTATTGGTATTGAAAGTTGGAAAGCCATTCGTTTTTTGCAGTTGAAAAAGCATGTGAATTTGGGATAAAGGTAGACATGTCTTTGATTTGGTTTGGTTTGGTTGAGAGCTGTGTGGTATAATGTTGTTGATTTGTGTTTGATGTTTAGCAATCAAGAAAGGTGGTGGTGTGTTATTTTTGTTGGGTGTAAAGTTGTTGCATTCATGTTTTGATTTGGTCACGAATGTTTTTAGGAGATACTTTTGGCAGGGCTTTGGTGCTTGATCTGGTTTCGTGATTTGCCTTCTGTTCTTGGTTTATGACAATTTCTTCCTTCTAGGATACATTTGGCCGCTCTAGCTGTCCAAGTGTGTGTAGGACTTGCTTTTTATGGACTTGTTGCTTAGCTGTTAATTTTTGACAATTGAGAATGCTGTGATTGTGGCTTTGATTGGATGTATACTAATCACATAACTTTTTTGTTTTTATTTTGTTTTTATTTTTGTTTATATGTTAAACTTTTGAGTTACTTCAGCATGATGTTGGGGTTTGATTTGGTAATGTTATTTGTTGTCAGTTTTGTATGTTTTGCTGCAATTTCTTCAGACTGTAGCCTTTTGCTGCTTTTATGGGTTGTCTTAGCTTTTATTTTATAAAAATGAAAGTTGGAATACCATTAATATATTATTACAGTTGAAAGCATGCACATAGAGGATAAAGATATACAATTTGCTTCAGTTGTGGCTTCTGTTTTTGTCAAAAATTCCTCGTAGGCATTTTGAAATTTCTTTATTCAGGTCTTGTGTCAGTTGTGTATACTTATTGGTAGCAATTGTGGAACGTAATATGTAATGCACTTATTGCAAAGCCATTGTTTTGAGATCTTTGAGGATGTTATATTTTTAGCATATATTTGTCCTTTTACTGGAAGAAACTTATGTTGTAAATAGACCTAGTACCAATAACATACTATGTTAATAATGATAGTTTATTTCACCTGCATTGGCATTTGGCTGCCAATTGACAAGCTGTATGGAAATGGAAGTAAATAAGTGGGAGTTTAACATTGAAATCAAAGATAAGATGCAGTAAGCACGAAGTTGGTCAAATTGCTTTGAATAGATGGCCTAAGACTGATACTCTTGGTTCAAAAGCACCTGTATCCATTCCCATCTGTTCCCCTGATGGGGCCTCACTTGAGGGGAAAGAAGAAGAAAGGAAGAGGGAGCAAAACAGGAAACACCACTTCATTGTAAAAGTGAAACTATACCAATATTTATTGAAAGCGCCATTCATTTCTGTTGTCTGACTTCTAATCTGATACAAAACATCAATCTGAAATCCTTCCCTCTTATCCTGCTGCAATTTTAGTTTTAAAGCAGTAAATATCTAGCGAGTAGTAACTTAAATAAGTACAAGTTTGTGGAGGAGAGGAATTATGAAGTAGGTAAAACAAGCATGCTTCTTACTTTGATCTTGGTCTATAGAGGATCATTGAAGCAATTATTTCGATCTCCATTGGATCAGTAAAACCCAAATGTATTAAGGTAAGGATGGCGGAATTACCAGTTCAGTAATGAAATAGGATTGGTGGATATCACATGTGATAACTCCTGCATTTGTCATCTTCTACGAGTTTGTGTAAAATAGAGGATATTTTTCATAGGAAGTAAAACGAAAAGGAGGCAATAAAAAGCATTTTATAATATTGTTTGAGTTCATTTTTAGTATTGTAGTGAACCATCTCTAATGTCCTTCTAAGAAAGACCAATACAAGGGAAGAGTAGAAAACCATTTCGAGGGAGTACATTATTTCCTTATTTTTTTTTATTCCTTTTTGTGATCCATTTGAATTAAAGATCATATAGTTGTATATAAAGAAGACAACAAATATAAAATCTAAAATGTAGTGAAACTGAAAAATTTAAGTGTAAACATGATTTGTATGTATTCATGTTCTAGGACTTTTATCTTCATTCTTGCTACTTTCAGTTTACAAAAGAAAGAGATATCTCCTCCCAAGGGTTAGACTCAGTTTCAAAGGCTAAATACCTATCAAACTTTAAAAGAATGGGGTATTCCATTATAATAACACAGCTTGGCCTTGTGTTCTCGAGGTCATATTTGAAGGATACAGTCTCAAGTTCCTTTGCAAGAAGCTAATTTGACAACTTGGCCTTGTGTTCTTGAGGCCACAGCAATTATTCCAAACATTTGGAGGTCATGTAGTTTAATTTTGCAAGCTGCTACAAGTGTGGTGCCTTTTCTTCTTCTCTCTCTCCCTATTTATTCTACATAAAGAAACCAGTCAGTAAAAAACAAAAGACTATTTGTTCTCTGGTCAGTGCATTTTGGTAGATACTTTGTTGAGCATCTAAAATCTAATATGATACCTTTTTTTTTATTTTATTTTAAAATGAACTGTGCTGTCAAGTTTCAGTGAGTAGGATCTTGGGCTTGCACTTAATGAATTTTGGTGCTCAATCCTAGGAAGCATTCTTCTGATTTTTCCTTGAATGTGGGTCCTCTCTTCTAAGGATCAGTGGTGCATTATCATTGAATTGAATTACATAGGGCTTTGTTTGATCCCTTTCTCTTTGCTCACCAGTAAAAGTATTTTATTTATGTTGTAACTAATTATTTCTTTTATCAGAAATGGGGATACTTATGCTGGTGAATACTTTGCGGATAAGATGCATGGGTATGGAGTGTATAGTTTTGCAAATGGCCATTGTTATGAAGGATCCTGGCATGAAGGCAAAAGACAAGGTCTTGGAATGTATACATTTAGAAATGGAGAAACCCAGTCTGGTCACTGGCAAAATGGAGTCCTTGACATTCCAAGCACACAGAGTGCCACCTATCCTGTTTCTCCTGTTGGTGTCAATCATTCCAGAGTACTAAATGCAGTGCAGGTACACTCAACATTTGTGATTTACTTTATTGTTTAATGATCTTTCCCGATTTATCATTAAATAAGAAAAGATATTGACCTATAGTGATCAGTCTGGATATTTCCTTTTCGTCATTGTTACTTTGCTATTTCATGACAATGGCAAATAATGTATCAATATTTTCTCAGTACATTACATTATCCTCTCTTGAGAGATTCTTAAATTAAATTCAAACAATAAAGACTCTTAAACAACTGTGAACAATTATGAATAAGATTTCTAATAATATTTTGTCTTTTTTTATAACTTTTATTATCACTAGCAATTAACTTTGAAAAAAAAAAACTCTCAAACGTTCTTTTACATTAAAATAGACTCAAATGTAACTTGTATTCATCTTTCAAGAAATGGGAGTGCATATTTTTTAAAAAGAAGGTGGAGAGTATAATTTAAGCATCTCTCTCGAAGGAGAAAAATTTATTATATCTTTTTTATGTGAAATGTGATATGCATTAGGCATGTGTTTTTTATTTTATTTTTAATTTTTTTTTTATTATTTTTTTTTTATGATTTGAGTTAATGGAAATTTTAATTGTTATCCTGTATCTCATGCTTTCTTGTAACTATTTTTTTACTGAATCTGCAAATTTGTTGTAATGGTTACCTTTGGGTATATTTGTGTCTCCATGGTTGGTTTCTTATCGACATATGAATGAGTGCCTTTTCAACTGAAATTACAATAAAAAAAAAAAAGTTGTGTACACACGCAGGAAAAATTAGCCAGAATTTTCACAGATTTTAGCTACATTCAAGGGTTGTTGAATTAGATAAATATGATAAAAGTCCCCCATTTATCTTTCTAGAGTTCTGGCTGTCTACAATTTTTCCATATGGACAAAGCTGAGAGGATGTTAGATCCTTGAACATTTTCTTTTATATGTATCAAATTAGCTCATTTGAATAGAAGGAAAGAGACAAATTAACTTCAAAGAGTTAGTTTGCATCATGAGCTTTCATTATTAATGATGTATTTGTTTGTGAACAAACAGGAAGCAAGAAGAGCAGCTAAGAAGGCCTATGATGTGACCAAGGTAGATGAAAGGGCGAATAGAGCAGTAGCAGCCGCTAATAGAGCAGCCAATGCAGCTAGAGTAGCTTCTGTCAAGGCTGTGCAAAATCAAATGCATCATAATGTTAACAGCAAGAGCATCCCAATCCCCATTGTGTGAGGCTATCAGCTGCAACTTTTGTTACAGTAGAGATGCACGAGATTGTCGGAAGAGGTCGATAGTTTAAACTGCGCCATTAACCATCATCACCACAGGCTCAGAGCAAGCAGATTTATTATCCTCTGCTACAACTCTTGTATAGAGGGAGAAAGGGTGATAGCTTCCACTTGGTAAAAAACTACTTATACATATATATATTTTTACCCTTTGCCTACATCTTGTAAATTTATTTAGATGTAAATGCTGGTGTGCGGGTGAAACCTCAACCCAGCTACAGTTGTAAGATCACTTGGTAAAATAAGGAGAGAAACATCTAGCGCAAAATCTTTTATTTCCCCAGCTTGATGTCTTTGCTTTATCTGACTTCGGAATGAGATATGTTTTCTGTTACCTGTTTAACTAGAGTTCTCCACTGGTTAGATAGGGCATTGTGTTTGTAATTTTAAATGTTAAAGATGAGTGTTTATAACTGTTTTTTTTTTATCAATAATTATGCTTGGTGTTAAGGTTGAAAACATGATTATTGGCTTAAAGAGATTTGGATATCATGTTTTGCTTTTTCTATCCAAATGTCTGCACCTTTAATATTAACTGAAAACAATGCTCTTTATTGATTGAGTTGCATCATTATTCAGTGGGACTGGGAGAGCATGTGAGAAAAGTTTATTAGTAACAACTTTAAATTGTTTAGAGTTAGAATTGAATTTGAAAAGGTTGAGAAAGAAATTATATTAAATCGATGTTTTTTTTAGTTATTGGAAAGTGTTAGAATTGGTGTTCTATCAGAAGAAGAAAAGGGCCTTAAAGAGATTTTGGATATCAGATTTAGCAATAATGAATTGCCTTTTGCCAAACTGTTGAAAAATGGATTGAAAAGCGTATCGTAATTTATTTTGGTTAAGAACACAACTATTTTTTGTTTTTTTGCTTAGGTCTTGTATGAGTAATTGATATTATAGTAGTTATATATGATGAATATTGTATCATTGAATACTTCATTATGTTCATTATATTTTCCTCTCTTTCCTTTTAAGGTATCAAATAGACGTGAATATCAATCTTTATTGCTGTTGCTGATAATTGAATGCAATGTGTGGGCCTGTCTGTGGCTGCACTTTCTGTCTGAGACATCATCATCTCTTCTCGTCACCCTCACTCCACCTCATCCCATCAACACTCCATCCACAATACCATGCTTCCATATTTTTAATTTCAGCTTCATCTTAATCTTACCATTGCGTCACTTTTGTGTACATTTCTTTTGGATTTTGTAAAAGCAATTTTGAATAAAATTGAGTTTCAATTATGAAAGTCATTTTTTTTATTTTTTTTTCAGAAAATCACCATTGATCCTGAATCAAATATACACTGTCTTTTATATATTTTTCTCATTATCTTGCGTTACACATTGTTCGTGTGAAGTATGGTTTTGGATAGAGAGGAGTTAATGAGAAATAATTCAGTAGAGATTTTTTTTTTTTTTAGATTTTTTATAAAGGGGAAAGAAGAAGAAAAATATTCAAAAGACTTAATTTAAAAAAAAAAAACTCTCCAAAAATAATGAGATATTGAGAAAAAAGAGTTCGTGTGATCATTAAAAATTTGAGATGACATATTTATCCTATTTTGCGTAATATTTCTATATTCAAATAACTTAAAAATCTACTTAATTTCTGTTTTTATTTTACAGTATATGTATTGATGGATAGCATAGTTGTATGACCTTAATTGATTGGGATTCATCACATTTCAATATCCAACTTACAACTTAAGTACCCTTACAATTATTTATTTTCTAAAAGAAATATATTTTCAGTCAAAAGTCATAAAACCAATATAAAGATTATTGAGTCTTATCTTTTTGAAAAAAAAAATTATGTTAAATGATAAATTTATCACATTCAAACAAGTCTATTTTGACTCAGTTAAAATCGATATATCTGCCCTCCTAAAAGCAAATCATTTTGTCCCATTCTTCCTATATTAAATACAATAAAAAGAATAATATTATCCAAAAACTTTTCAGAATTAGTATTTTAAAAATACTTTGGATTAATTTTTTAGAATGATTCTTTCATAGAAAGTTTTATAAAAACGTTTTCGAATCAGTTCTCAGAAATATTTCGAAAAACTTTTCAAAAAGATTCTAGATTTCTAGAAACTTTTTATTAGAATGATAAAATTATGTGTTAGATTTCATAATGTGAAACTTAATATATATATATATATATATATATATATATATATATATATATGTGTGTGTGTGTGTGTGTGTGTTTGGATTCATTTATTTGAAAATTTTCTGAATTTTTTAATTTAAAATATTCTAATATATATATATATATATATATATATATATATATAAATTGCTAGTTGCATAAAACCAATAAGAATATTATTATTATTATTATTTTAAATAAATATAGGAATATAAAAAGAAAGTAAAGAGGTGTAAGAATACTGTGCCAAGTCACTGTTATAGACTCTAGCGTATGTATAATGCCCACATCTGCATTGCCCTTAAATATGATGGCAGTAGCAATCCATTAACATGTCATGCCCTACAATGCTCTATGTATGCTCAAAAGATTAATCAAACTATCATGTGTGGCTAGGCAGGTCCTAGAGCTATATGTTATTCTTTGATGATTTACCAACAAACCTAACTACGATTAATAGTTAATCCTTACGTACATTATTAGAAAAACATATTGTATATAAAAATATTAGGGTGATTGAAAGAGTTGATTTCATATTTGCATTAAAATGAGACGTTCCCAATGTTACTTGGATTTATTTTATTTTGTTTCTTTTGTAACGGCTGACATGACATTTTTTATACTCTTACAGTAAAAAAGTTTACATTTTTCTCCAGGGACCAAATAATTTAATGTAGTTTTTTCTATTAAATCAAACTACTATACATTTGTTCGCAATTTTCATATATGAAAATATTATATTTTCAAAAATGTTAACTTGTCCAAAATAATTTAAAATTATAACGTTTGAGTGAAAAAAATCATGCCAGTCTTCTTCACTCTTTTCAAAGAAGTTCAGATCAATGCCTCTATAAATGTATCTTATTTTAAGTTTAAACATCAATTATATGACAAAAATTAGTGTAAATTGTGAACACTTAGTATATACAAAGGGAAACTAAACATAATACAATGCAAAAACAAATAGTCCATACAACAGTCATCCTAGGAAAAAACAAGTGAAACTGGCTTGGTATGCCAATCCTCATTCGGCAACCAATTGAAGATATCTAAAACCAGAGGTATGATCAAGTTGGATTTAGAAAACCCTACTTGATAATATAATCAATTTCAGAAATTGAGAAGATGTTATGCTTCAATTGGTTAAATACAGGTTAAAAATCTTAAGATGTTAGTATAATGAGTTCTTCGTAGATGATTGGAAAACAAAAAGCAAAAACTGCAAATTAATTCAGTATCAAATGACTCAGGACTAAAAGCTAAATAGCATTTTAAATGATAAGTAAGACATTACTGACATTCTTTAACAAAGATCAGTCAAAATTATACTCTCCATCAACTACTAAGACAATGTATGATAATTTTAAAATAAAGAGCAAAATTATGCTTCGAAAACAAATGAAAAGTGCAAACTGCGTTCAACTCTCAGTCTGCTCCCTTAGCCTTCTAATGGTGCTTCGTACAGTCACAGCACTAGCAGTACTGTCAAGAAGAAAATGCACAAAACATATCTTTAACCACCATACAACATGAAATAATTAAATGTAAAAGGCGTTGAGAAAAATTCTTACTTCAACGTGTAAGCACCTCCAGCCTTCACTTTTCCACAATCTTTGCATCCCCAAATACCAACAGCCTTCCTCTTAACAGCATACTGAAAATACAAACATCATAAATAGTGACATTAGGCCATAGTCAGCAATATTGATTATCATGAACTATCATGTACAGGGATTTTTCAATGGCATTTGGCAGAAGGCCAAAACTCTGCCATATAAACACACCATTGCAGGCCTCCTTTCACAATTTGCCATTGGCAGTTCGCAAAATATCATTCATGGCATCACTATCATCACAATCTAGTTTGGTATTCTACAAGGCATATTTCTTTTCAGATAGTCAACTATTGTATGTTAATGATAAAAACAAGTAAATTTAATGAATAGCAATTAAAATAAATGACATTATATATTGCATACTTCATTTCCAAAATCTAACTGCACATAGTGTTCTAATCAACTTATTGTGGTAGCAAATAATGTTCACCGGTTAATCAGGTTTGGATCGAATTTCAATTAATTACAAACCCTTCAAACACCCCCAATCAATGCTGAACACAAAAATACATTATTAGAAAGATAAAAGACATACCTTTCCACAGAACTCACAGAAGAATTTACTGTGCTGACTAACTTCCATCTTCTTAATTTGCTTCCTCAAACTAGCACCATATCGGGTGCCTGAAACATGATAACACACATTAGTCATCACCCGTATAGTGGACTCGTCTCTAACACACAAAGGGATCAAAAACACTTGATTTATTGATACACATCATACTGTTGACCCACAAACAATCAAAATTCACCTTATAATGACTTCATTGTTTCATGACAAATAAACACTAATCCCTATGTAAAACAAGCAAAAACAACAATTGACAACGAACACGCACCATATTTTCCAACAATACCGGCCTTCTTGGTTCGCTTGGTCTGGTCACAAGCACAAAAACATGAACAATGTTAAAATCTCGAATTAGAACAAAGCCTTAAACTTTGAGAACACAAAAACAGATAACAGAGAGAGAAAGGGAGTACCATTTTTCCGAAGACGTGAAACGAGAAGATAGAAAATGACCGGAGGGTTGAGGTGCTACTGCAAAACTAGGGTTGGAAGAGAATACGGATACTTTTTAAATAGGCCATAATGGGCCTCAGCGAATCCGACCCAAACTTGAGCCCAGTTAAAGTAATAGTTTTCATCTTCGGTAATTATTTCCTGCACCCGATAACTTCTCCTTGCACATTCATACCCTAACTCAAATACTTAAAATACTCTTCCATAAGTTTGTTTTTTACCATAATTTCTTCTATTTATCTATAACTTCTGCGCTTTCATTCTTTATCTATTTGATTTTTTTTTTGTATTATCACCTCCATTAAAGACATTTTATAACAATTAAAGACAAATAATTAATATTATCTATGAATTATAGGTTATGCACTCAAATTACACAAATAAATCCAAATTATTCAATTTAGAATAGTATCATAAGGTTGAATTCTGAATACTTAATCTAGAATACATTTTTTAATTATTTTTCTGGAAACGCATTCTGAAACACCCATTCTAAAATACTATTATGAAAGTTTAGATGCATTTTTGAAAATTTATTCCAGAATATGTTTCTGAAAAATCAATTTAAAAAATATAATGAAAAATGGTAATTTGTATTAAAAAAAATATTAAAATTCAATTTAAAATTAGAGATAAAAAAAATAGAGTAATGAGTTAAAAAGGATAGGCTGGTAATAATATAAAGTATACTTTTTTTATTTTAGAAGTTATTTTTTGCGCTAATTTATAAAAAAAAAGTTATATAAATAAAAATAAGAAAAAACAAATAAATATATATATATATATATATATATATATATATATATATTATCTTATACACATGTTTAGAAAATAAATAAATAAAAATGATTAGCGAGATAAATTCATTATCTAATATAATACAAAATTTTGAGATGGATTTTTTTATTTTTTATTATAAATCAAAACTAACTCAATTATCGTTGATTGAGTTTTGTTGAATTAAGGATACAATTTTTTTAAAATTATTTTATTATGTTTTTTAATTTGAATTTATTATTTATTTTTAAGAATAAACTATATTATTTAATATTTGAAAATTTTAATATTCAAAATACACATTTAGAATAATTAAATAACATTTATATTATTTTAATATTAACATTATTTAATATTTTTTATCAAATTAGTTTGAGTTAAATATCGAGTTCAACAATTAAAAATTCATAGTTCATTTGATCATGGGATTGTAGTTTTGACCTAATAAAAAAAGTTAATCTAACATGATTAAATTGGATTTAGTTGAATTTAATTATCACGTTACCAAATTCAATAAAAAGTCAAGAGAAAAATGAAGTTTTTTGACATTTTTTATTTATAATTATAATATAATTTTTTTAAACTATAAAAAAAATTATGACTTATATGATTTGATATATTCCAATTATATATGTTTTAAAATATTGTTAAAAATTGTGTGTCACTTTTTTTCTTTAGATATCATAAGATGAGAAAGTTAAAATATTGACCAACAATTACTCCCTTCAAAAGCATGATATACTTTTCTTTTATGCATCTTTACGTTACATAACAAACAATTATCATTGGATAAATATGAATTTCATAATATTATTAAAACTACAAATAGAAAATTTTATTAATTATACTAAATATAAATAGTTAAATTAATAATATTTTTGTGAGCCATATAAATTTTTATATTTTTATTGAGTGATCTTATTCTGTGTTTTAGTAGCAGAAATATTTTTTAAAATGATAATAATGTGTATAAACGTTTAAAATAGAGGGTGAGTTTTTTTTTTTTAATTTAAGGGTCATGACACCCTAAATTTTTTAAATTAATTGTATATTTATAATTTCGGATAAAAATTATATATATTCGTAGTTTTTTTTTCATTCATGCTTCGTACATATTTTTATTAATGAAAAATTGTAAGATTTTTGTGTATATGTATTTTTATATATGAAATATATTTAACTTTGATTCTTAGGAAAGGATAATAAAGTTTTTCATAATTTGTTATTTGACTATTTTATGGTGAAAGTTACAATTTATGAATGATAAGAATATAATTTTCTCTTGAAAGATTAGATTTATAGGAAGTTGTAAAAGAGAATATATCATTGATCCATTATTTAAAAGAATCCTCTATAGTCTAAATCAAAATTCAAGGAAAAAAAATGAGTACAAAAGCAAATAAACAAGTGTTTCACAAATAATCTTGTTAGGAGAGAGGGGGTCTCAAAAAAGTATCAAAAGGGAGGGAAGAGTATTGAGAGAGAAAGACACAAAACGTAAATTCTGTATAAAATGTAACCTCATTCTTATAATTGTTGTGTAAAAATACTCTAAAGACACAATATTTATAACAAAGATTGCAATTAACTACACTCTAACCTGATTAAAAACAATCATTATGATTAACAATTGAATTATTATCTTACACAATATTCTAATTCAGTAATCGATTTTACATTAAAAAAAATTTCTCAATTCTTCAAACCTTTGATTATTCAAAGGCTTCATCATGAAATATGTCAATGGTTCCTTAGTGTCACAGTGCTCAAGCTTCAACTTCTTCTTCCTTACTTCATCTTTGATGAAATGAAATCTTAATACAATATGTTTACTTATTCCATGATAAATTAAATATTTTACCAAATTGATAACTGACTTATTGTCGATCTTCAATGTCATTATCTTCTTCGACCTCCCAAGGACTTGATTCACTAAACTTTCAATTCACAGTGTTTGACATGTTATGTACGCAACAATCATGTATTTAGTTTCATAATAAGAGAGTGTCACAATAAGTTATAACTTTGAGCACTATGAAATCAGTAATTTTTCTTATAGGAATACATAGCTTGATGTGCTTCTGAAATCAATGTTATCACCAATCTAGTCAGAATCAAAATATCCGACTAACTTTCCTCTATTTTGATGTACACCATTAGGTAAAAGGATATCATAATCAACAATCTTTTTTATATACCTAAAAACTATCTTAGCTATTATTACAAGATGAGATGCTTTGGATTTTTTTCATAAATCTGCTGAGCAATCTAACACCAAACACAAATATTTGATCTACTACAATACAAGTATCTTAGACAACCAACCATCTGTCTATAGACTGTAATAATTACAGGTTTTTCATCTTCATCTTTGTTAAGCTTCAAGTTCGCCTTAACTGGAGTAATAACAACATTACATTCACTCATCCTAAATTTCTTTAACATATTTACTTTGGTAAATCAAAATACTTTTCTTATCTTCGATGAACTCCATTCTCAAAAAAAAATATAACAACTTTTTTAGATCGGTTATCTTAAACTAATCCTTCATCCTCTTTTTAAAATTATCGATAGAAGTAATTTTATTGTTAGCAAACAATAAATCATCGACATATAAACATATAATTAATATATCATCACCTTCAATTTTCAAGTAAATCTCATACTCAACTTCACATTTTGAGGATCCTTGTTATCGAAGATAATCATCAATCACTACTAGAAAATATACTTTCAACGTCGCTGTTTAACGTCGGTTACATCTTAGCCGACGTTGAACATGATTTCAACGTCGGTTGGTCAATAACTGACGTCGAAAGTCGAATTTTGACACATTCTACGTCGTTTTAGCATGCACGACGTGGAAAAGTAGGCTTTTGACGTCGGTTATGCCCTCACCCGACGTTGAAAACCCTTCTGAACTCATTATGACCGATCAGAATACAAATATGACCGATCAGAACCGAATGTGATCGATCAGATTTTAATTATGAGCGATCAGAAGTTTTTCAATCGATTAAAACCACGTTTCAATCGATAAAAATCTCTTAAAGGGTCAGGATGATCGATCAGAATCTAGTTATGACCGATCAGGACTATTTTAATTGATTAAATCTCGTTTCAATCGATTAAAACATATGAAATCAAGTTTCAACGTCGGGTGTGGGTATAACCGACGTCGAAACCCCGTTTTCCCATTTGAATAGGCTACCATATGCATTTTTGTATCTCCCCTTACTCTCCAGCATCGCGCCCACTCCCCTTACTCTCCAGCATCGCGGCCACCACCTACCACCGTCATTTGGACTCTCCGGACGCCCTCCCTCACGTCGCCACCGCGCACCGCGTGACACCCCCGCCGCAGCACCTCCACCCCACTGCAGCTTCCACCCCACCGCGACGCTAGTCGCCCACCGCGAAGCTAGTCGCCCACCCTCCACCCCCACCGCAACCTCCACCCACATTGCATTGTCCGCTCACCACAGCCTCGACCCTAACACCGCATTGCATCCTCCACCTCCACCCCGGTGCTGGCCGCTGCTCGTTTCTACGTGGTGCGAACCTTCATCGCTGCCTTAAACCACAGGTACGATGTTGTTGCACTTATATTTGTTGGGCAAAGTCATACAATTTTACTTACTACATTTCATAGGTAGAGATTGTTAGTCATTTGTCGTTAACTGTTGATTCAATTCTTAGTCATATTATAGTTTTTTTCAATGTATTGATGATGTGTACAATTATACTTGAACTGCTTGAATATGCCCGTGGGGCTTTTTATTGTCGGGTTTCACTGTGTCATTTAAAATTGTTGCCAAAAAACAAAGGAAACTCTGTCGGATTTTTGTTAGAAATTAATCATGAAGTGTGAATTCGAAAACTACATATAACAATGTAGTTATATAAGTGATGGTAGTAACAATGAAAACTCTATAATTTCAATTTATACAAATTTGGTTTTGACCAAAAAATAGACGAAATTCTGTTGAAATTTCGTTACAAATTAATCTACTTTGGTATAGATTTCATTAGAGATAACGATTATTAGTAATAATCGTTTTATGGGTTTCTCATTTGTAGACTCCAATTCCAAAATGGATCGAAGTTGGGTAAATGCAAGTCGTATTTCACAAGAGTATGAGAATGGAGTTGAAGAATTTTTGCGATTTGCCGAACACAATGGCAC